GTGATGGCGCAGACCCCAAGGGTGGGAGTCACAGGGGTGATGGGCACGTCGTTGCCTCGATGTGCTGGTGGCCCCGTGGGCGCGTCACTCAGAGCGTCTGCAGCTTATCCCGTGTGTTTTACCTCGAGCCGAAGGCAGGCAGAGGGGACGACGGGCCTGCGGCTCTGCTGCGGGGACCACAGGTGACCCGGGGAAGCGTCTGGGCCGTCCTCCCACAGTGAGGTCTTCAAGCAGAGGACGAGAGCGTCGGGTCAGGAGGTGGTGTGTGCGAGGCAGGGTGTCGGGAAAGCTGGGCCCAGGGTGTGGGCAGCACCATCTCGGGGACTCGCGTTTAACTGCAGCGACTCACAGTGACCGTCACCCACTGCCGCACCCTCACAATTTCACTCGCAAACGTCTCTTCCAGGCGTCCATTCTGGACTTGCACTCGGGGGCCCTGTCTGTCGGGAAGCACTTCGTGAACCTGTACAGGTGAGAGCCTGGGCGGCGGAAACCCCCAAGGCCGCACCGAGCGAGCGTCTCAGCGTTGCTCGGCTGTGGAGGCTGCGGTGTCGCCGCTGCTCTGGGCTCACTGTCGGGACGGAACATCCCCCCGGCCTGTTCCAGGGACAGGACCCTTGTTCGTGAAGCTTCCGGGAGAGTCTGCTGTTCTGTTCTGTGGCTTCTCTGGAAGCCGGGACGTGGGGCTGGAGGGCGAGGTGGCCCAGGCACGTGGCAGGCGGGAGGCAGAGGCGGGAGGCAGGCACGTGGCAGGCACGTAACGGCGGGAGGCAGAGACGGCCCTGTGAGCTGCAACGCTCCGTGTGGGGCCCAGAGAGACAAAGGCGTTTCCCAGCCTTGATCAGCGCTGTCGCCTCCTCGGCCGCTGCTCCTGCCACCTGCCCGTCCCTGCTCACAGCACAGGTGCCATCGCAGAAGCCAGGTAGCCCTGAGGTGACGGGATCGAGGCGATTCTCAGGGATGTGCTGGTTCGCCCAAGGAACGACTAAATTGAAAGGAAATGAGGAAAAGATTAATAAAGTGTTACATGAGTTAACACTCTTTATTTTTTCAGATACTTTGGGGATAAGATACGCACCATCTTCTCGGAAGAGGACTTCCGGTTGTACCGGTGAGGACGGGGCAGGAGGGAGGTCACGGTGGGGGGAGGGCGCCGAGGCGAATTCTCGGGGACCAAACCCGCGAAGGGCTGGTTCGTAACCAGTGTCGTCAGGATGAGCCGCTGGTCCCTGGCGCACTCGGATGAGGCGGCTTCTTATTCCACGTACGTATAAATCAGCCCAGAGAAGACACTGACAGCCTTTGTCACAGGACGAAACATTTGTGAATGTTTCAGTTGTTTTCATAAAGACAATCGGTTGAAAAGTTCTGCAGGACGAGCCCAGGTTGAGAGGAGGAGGAACGAGCAGAGTGTCCGGGTGATTGACAGCCCCGCTGACCCGTCCCGACCGTCCACGTCAGAGCTGCCTGCTCAGGGCGTGGGGTCCTGGGCTGAGGGTCCCCTCGACCCCAACACAGACGGACAGTCCACACTCCCCGCCCTCCACACAACTGCCACCTGCACCCCACACCCACCCCGGACACCCCACACACCCTGCCTGTGCCCACCACCTGCACCCACCCCTGGTGTCCCCCACAACTGCCACCTGCACCCCACATACCCCGCCCCCCCACACAACTGCCACCTGCACCCCACACACCCTGCCCACCCCCATGTGCCCCACATGCACCCCACATACCCCGCCCCCCACACAACTGCCACCTGCACCCCACACCCACCACCCGTGCCCACACTCCCGCCCCCCACGCCCTCCACCCTGCGCCCCACGCCATGTGGCGGTAGCCCCCTTTCTTGCCAACCAGGGGCTCCAAGCCGAGTCCGTGCAGCCATGTGCCTGGGTGTCTGGGGCTGGTTCCCCACACCAGCATCCACAGCAGGGTCCCCCTGGTGCCGCCCTTGTGTGCCCAGCGCGCCCCGGTCACCTGCGCTGTCTTTCCACCGGGGCCCTGCGCTGTCCGGGGCGCGGGGCTGAAGGTGCCCTGATCGTTCCCGGGGCGTTGTCGGGGTTGTGGTCGCGCATGACACCCCCTCGCGTGTTCCGTGCGCCTGCCCATTCATCTTCCCGCCGTCCCCTGGCCTGGGACTGCCTGCGGGTGCTTGGAGACGCTCAGAGAATTCCGTGCTCTCCTCTGGGGACGAGCTGCTCCCGTGACGCGCTGTGTCCTCTGCAGGGACGTGCGGCAGAAAGTGCAGCTCACGATCGCCGAGGCTTTCGGCATCAGCCCGTCCTCACTGCACCTGACGAAGCCCACGTTCTTCTCCCGCATAAACAGCACCGCGGCGCGGACGGCGCACGATGAGTACTGGCACGCGCACGTGGACAAGGTGAGCACGGTGCCCGGCGAGGGCACGTTTCTTTCGCGTTCTCCCGCGGTCCGCGGCTACGGGGCGCTCTGCAGATTTGCAAGCCTCTGTCTGCAGCGTTTGTGTTTTCAGCATTTCTGAGGCTTTAAGGGGCATTTTGAATCTAGTCGATGCGGCCGAGGAGGTAAAGTTCGTAAAGTAAAGGCAGGATTCTCCTTACGTGCAGAGGAGCCTGGCGGTCGTCCCCACCGTTGTCCGCGTTTTGGCTGGATTTGGGATTACTCTTCAGTGCCCTCTCTCCCGCTCGGGGGCTGCGGCACTTCGCTGTAGAACCACCACCCTTTGCGCGGCGGCAGCGTTGGGAACCCTCCCCTCCTGTTTCTGTATTTGCTCTCGTTCGCACTGCACCAGCGCAAACAGCCTCGTTAGAAGGGGCGACGGAAGCGGCTTCTCCTTGGTCCACATCCCCCCTAATTTCTTTCCAGCCCTCGACTAAATTCTGTTTATCAGGAACCCAGAGTAGCGTCTGAGGATTTATGTTTTTCTAATTAGCAAAGACGTTTGCTTCAGTGAAACAGAGCTGTTGGAAAACCCGGGTGATTTCCATGTTGGTCTGTTGGAAGCTTTCTTGCTGCGAGGTCTAGCCAGCGTTCCGTGTTGTAAATCCAAGTGTTTAAAGAAGTCAGTGCATCCTACAAGGTTTAAACGTGAAAAAAACATAAAAAGGCGACCGCTTTATACGTCTCCAGCCCTCCCCGCAGCCCCTTGCCCCCCGGTGACCACAGTCCGGGGTCTAGAGCTCCTTCCCTGGTTTCCTGGTGCACAAAGCAACGCGCACAGACACTGTGTTCTATCAACTGTGGAGAGTCCCATTTGTAAACGGCCTGGCCGTTGTGTTTCCTCCTGTTACATAAGCGAGGCAACTGATGGGTTAGTCGTGAAAGTGGCGTGGGCCCCTGTGCACCACGCTTCGATCGCTCATCTGTCTCGCTGGCCTTGAGCAGAGCTGGGGCCAGGACTCACGTCTGGCAGCTCTCGGGGCGCGGGGCTCAGGGTGGGGCAGGGAGGGCGAAGGCCACACGCGCGGCCTTTGCGGAAACATTCACAGCAGCTTGGACGTGTTAGCTGTAGGGGGTCCCAGGCAGAGACGCACGGGGTTGTGGCTTCACGGGTTCCTCTGAAGGTGTGAAGGAGCCACCCCGACGACGACGTGTCTTTCCTGTTTGCTTTCTGGAAAACAAGGAGCAGGTCTTCTGGCCTCGTGTGGAGAACCCCGTTCCTCCAGGGTGCTCTGACCCACGCCCTCCTGGCTTTGCCCCGCAGGTGACCTATGGCTCCTTCGACTACACCTCGCTGCTGTACCTCTCCGACTACCTGGAGGACTTTGGCGGGGGGCGGTTCGTGTTCATGGAGGAGGGGGCCAATAAGACGGTGGAGCCCAGAGCTGGTAGGAGGCGCCCAGCAGGGCCTGGGAGCAGAGACGGTCCTCGTCCTCGGGCCACTGTGGGTGGGGGTGGGTCTCAGAGCTGTTCCATGGCGGTGGCGGAGAGGGGAGCACCTGCTTGGTGACGGCTCAGGGCCGAGTGTCTGCTGGGTCCGTGGCTGGTCCCCACACGCAGGAGGCCGGAGTCTGTGGGCCCACACATCTGAGGTCACTGCCGGTCGGCAGCAGAGCCGGGTTCCCACGCTGCCGCTGGCCCCAGCCCACCTCCCTGCCTGGGTGTGTGTCACCCTGGTGGCGCGGGGTCCCACCTCCATCCCCTCCGGAGGGCACCGCGCCCTGTCCCCTTCTCAGAGGGACTCAGCCAAGTCAGATTAGACAACGCTCCCAGCATAATGTTGGTATCTGGGTACGAGAACTGATGCCGTGCGGCTCTGTGGTGACCCCGTGGTGCCAGCTTTGGTGCCTGTGTCCCTGGACCTTGCAGCTGTCCCCAGCACAGTGCGGGCACAACGGTGCCCAGTGAGCATTTGCCAAGTGGATAAATCGTCCCCTCCCTAGGTCCTGGGGGGGATGTGGGGCTGGGGGGGGTCCCTGCTGGGGGCTTCCAGAGATGCGGCCCACGCCCCGGCCCAGGCCCCACCGAGACTCACAGACAGAGACCAGCCACTGCGCCAACACCGTCGGCCTGCGGGCGCGTCTCCTGCCCCCACACCTGCTGACCAGACTTACCACAAACAGTCTACGGTGGGCTCGGCAGGCTGGTTCAACATTAAAGCAAACGAGCAGGAGCTCGTAGGATCAGACGTGTGGAAGGACTGACCCTACTCCTGGAGCCTTGACGCGGCTGAAATCCTGCTCCACGTCTGTCCCTCGCGTCCCACCTGCGGGCCCTGGGGCTGGACGTTTTGCCTTGACTTGCCCTTCCTGATTCTCTGTCAGACCCCTCCAGGATTTGGCTTTTGTTCTCAACATGGGATTAGAAACAAGATCCTAAAATGGCAGATCTGAGGGCCCGTAGGAGGTTGGCTTAGAGGCCTGGGAGAGCAAAGGGCCTCATGCCCGGCTCTGTGGCTCGTCTCCGCCTCCCGGCACAGAGCCCCTGGTGGCCGGAAGTGCTGGGCCCAGCCCTGCTGGGTTTGTCTTCTGGGCTCCTCTCGGGCAGTTCCTGGCGGGGCGTGGGTTTCAGCTCTGCAGGTTGCCGTGGTGACTGGCGGCCGTTGCTGTCGGGACCCTAGCAGGCTTCTGGAGACCCGGCGTGGGTGTGGCCCCCACCGTCACCTCTGTCTCTCCTCCTCTCCCAGGCCGGGTCTCCTTCTTCACCTCGGGGTCCGAGAACCTGCATCGGGTGGAGAAGGTCCACTGGGGCACCCGCTACGCCATCACCATCGCCTTCAGCTGCAACCCCGACCACGGCATTGCGGACCCAGCGTTCCCGTAGCTGCTGGGCCAGGCCGGAGGACCCTGTCCCCGCACCCTTGTGTTCAGGGTGCTCCTGGGCCACACGGAGCACGTGCCCCATCCCCTCCTGTTTCTCCTGTTTCCACTGCACAGAGTGCCTTACGGATAATCTGGAATTTTGATTTGCTAATGTTTTAATCTCATCTGTGAGTAAATTAAGGGACCAGCCTTTCACTTCACCTGCACCGTGTTTGCTTTGCACGCTGTTGGCGCGGGAGCCCCGAGGGCCCCGCCCTGCCCCTCCTTCGTCGAGAAAGGACAGACCTGGGCAGAGATTCCCATCTGTGGACAGAGGACTGGTTTGCCTGGGCCTCGTCCAAATCTGGAAACCACCCGGCTCCACGAAGCCCGACTGAAGCCTCGGTAGACTCTCAGTGGGGCCGGTACAGGCTCGGGGCCAGCGGCTCTCACCCTGCAGCGCGGAGTCAGCAAATCGCGACAGCTCTGGAGACAGTTCCAGTGAGCGGCGGCTCTGGGGGCAGCAACAGGCTCCTTTGGGGGTGAGGGGCTCTGCTGGGCTCCAGGTCAGATGAGTGTCTGATGTCCCCACAGCTCTGCGTCTGCACCCCGAGCCAGCCCAAGAATTTCCTGGGCAGGTGGGCACACCAGGCCGCACTCTGCCCCGCCACCAGCCAGAGTCCCTGGTGATCAGAGTCCAAGCGTGTCCCCACCAAGGAGATCCTCAATGTCGCTGTCCCCAGCCCCCATGGGCCTCCTGCCCAGCTGCACCTCTGTGTGTGTAGGGGGAGGCCTGGGCTAGAGGGGAGGGGATGTGTCCATCAGCCTGGCTTCTGCCAGGATCTGCTGTGGTCTCACAGCCACCCGACAGGTGACCGTCCTGGGGTTGGGGCACCTTCCCTGGAGAAGTCAGAGCCAGACTCTGCTGGCTGCCCTGACCCAGGCTGTCCCTCTGTCCCCCAGCGGGGACGCAGGCACCTGAGCCCTGATGCGGGTGCCTATGCTTCAGGAGGCCGCCACTCTCTGCCACCGCCAGACCCCTGTGCTCCAGGCCAGGGGCCAGGTGCCCTGTGGCTGCAGAGCGGCTCTGGGGCTCATGGAGAAAGGGGGAGAATTCCGGGCCCCTGGAACAGGACATGAGGACAGCTGAGGCTCGATGAGGACCCTGGGGCCGCCCCTCTGTCTGTCCAGGCTGTCCTGCCCCAGGTGCTGGGCCCAGGGCCCTGCCGGCCGTGCTCCCACAAAGCCAGTGTGGACCGCACCCCTGTTTCCAGCAGGCTCCACCGTCGGACGGGAGCCCTTCTCGGTCGGGGCTGCGGGCTCTGGGCAGGAGCACTGCGGCCCTGAGTCCTCCCACATCCTCCTGGCAGGGGACGCTGGAGCCAGGGTCCGATTTCAGAGAAGGACTTTGGCGGATTTGGGAAGGACAAGGCTCCTCTCAGGGCCGCTGCTCCACGGACGTCCTCTGGCTTAGGCCGGGTCCTCAGTCTTGTGCTGGAGCTGCCCCTCCCCTGACGTGGCCGTCTGTCGTCAGCTGCCTCCAGTCTCGGCTTCGAAGGGCCCCTTGCTGGGACCATTGTGCGGACAGAAAAGCTTCGTGGAAGCAGATTTTGTTCTGTAACTCTGCCGCCACCTGACTGCCCGTGTCCCCTCACAGGCACCTCACAGCATCTGAGGGACAAACACATTTAGGAAAACAGGCATGGGGTTGGTTGTAGGTTAAAATGCTTCTGAAAGAAGCAAATATTCATTTGATTTCCATCCTTTGCTACTTACACTATTCACAGTAGTCACAGAGGCACTTGGACAAAGACATAAACATATTCGGGCAAAAGCAAGAATTTCCTTCTCCTAAGGTGGGACAATATGCAGCCACAAAAGCGGACCCTCAACCCTGGGCTCCTCCCCGGAGTGACCCCAGGGCGCTGCCCACCAGTGTGGGCAGGCGAGAGGTTGTTCCCAGAGCTATGCGGTCGTCAGTACTGCCGGAAGTTTCAAAGCTCAGTGACAGTTTGTCCCAGGGAGAAATCGGAGTCAGGAGTGTCCTCTGATGAATGATTTATTTTTGAAATTTATTTTTAAAATAAAAGTGATTTGTTTAAATCAAAGCCGATTATTATGTCTAAAATCAAAGACTGTGACGAGTGGGAGTCTCACGCCAAGAAGTTCACCTGCTCCCATCCCCCGCCCTGGCCGCAGTCCAGCTGTGTCCCTGAGGGGACAGGTCCCCGAGCCCTGCCGGTCACCAGAGCCAGGGCTGTGCGTGGCCGTGAGTCCTGGGCCAGTGGGACACAGTGCTCTGGAGCCACCATCTTTAGTTATGTCAAAAGGTCTGTATCTTCCCCAGCTCCCACAAGAACCGGTGAGAAAGCCACAAGCGCAGAAGCAACGGCTTCCCTGCCCAGAGGCCACCGTGTTGCTTTGCCCTCCCTGGAGGGCGTGGGTGGGGATCAGAGCAGAGGCGTCCCCTTCAGCTATGACTCTTCAAAGGAAGGAAGGAGGCCTGGTCCTCCCACCCTTGGCCCTGATAGGAAAGAGCTGTCGAGGCAGCCGGCTGGGAGCTGGCCTCTGCCACGCAGCCCCGTGCCTCCCCTAGGGACACAGCCCAGAGCGGCAGGCTTCTGCTGCCCTCTGCCTGACGGGGAGGTCCGGCCAGGCAGGGTGGAGGCAGCGGCAGTTGGGCAGGGACAGGCCCAGGGAGGTTTCCGGCCAGGCCTCTCGGCCAGCGACAGAGACACTGAATTTCTACCTCCTCAATGGGGCCAAAGCCGGGGTCTGGGGCTGGCGGGAAGGGGTCGCTACAGGCCTTCCTAGGAAGGAAGGGCAGTCTGAGAGGGCGGTGGTGTCTTGGGCACAGTGGGGTGACACTTTAGAGGCGATTCCAGCTGATTTTATACCAACCTGCCAGCCTTCCCCTCCCCTGGGCAGGACTAGAGCACAGCAGGGTCATCTGACCTCTTCCCTTCTAGGTGCCTTAAACAGCCCTCTGACCGCTGCAGTCCCTGCCAACACCAGGGTGCCCAGGGTCCCGTTCTCCTCCTCGTTCCAGAGTTGCTTCATTTCAATGTTCTCCCCCTGGAACACGTCACACGAAAAGCCAGGAGGAAGAGCTTGTAAGAGAACAGCGCACGCCGGTCTCTCTGCATCTGCCCTCCGGGTTCCCCTCCACGCCTGCAGCCCTGGCCCGGGGGACAGACAGACGCCTGAGGCCCTCCCTTGGGGCCACCCTGGCTTTCCCTCCTGCTTAGCCCCTCTGGAGGAAGGGGGCGGGGCAGCTCCCCGTTCCTGAGAAAGGGGTCCCCCTGGCATTCGGGGGTTCTTGGCCCCCCGGCTTTTTTCTTGTTGTTCCTTGTTGGGGTTGGTTTTTGTTGCGGTTCCAGGTTGGCCTTGTTTTGGCTTTCCTTTGGGGCTTTGCTGGCCCCCCCCCGGGCCCCCCCCGGCCCTTCGGCAAGGACCGGCCGGGGCGGGCGGTTGGGGTTGGGGGTTGGGGCCCCCTTCCCGGGGGTTTCTTGGCCCCCGGGTTCCCCCCTTTGTTGCCTTCCCCGGGCCCCCCCCCAGCACAGGCCCTGCCCCTGGCCGGGTCCTGACGCCCACTTTGCCCAGGAGGCTGGCCAGGGCCGTGGGGCGATGGGCAGGGAGGTGGGGGCAGTGCAGAGGCCGTGGCCTCCATCCCCATGGGCCAGAAGGAGCCGACCCTGAGGACATTTGCAAATGCCCCTCCCCAGGCTCCTGGGACCCGCCCTGGCCCTCTGGCCATTGGTCACCCTGTGGTGCGTGTGTCCCCTCCCTGCCCTGTGCCTGCAGGGGGCCACACTGTGTTCAGGGGCTTCGGTCACCAGACCCCCACAGAGGCGGGCCCACGGCACCCTTACCTCACCCAGGCCCGTTGCCCACCCCTGGGCTCCACTCTGTGGGCACCTCCCCCACAGAGCTGCCTCTGGTCTCCTGCTGCGGCTGGCCTGGCAAGCAGCAGGCCACACACTGTCCCCCTCAGCCCTGCCTGCAGGGGGAGGGGCAGGACAGGGTGGGATGGGGCAGGGCAGAAACTGAGGTGCCCCTCCCCCGTCAGCCCCAGCCCCCCGGGAGGAATCTTAGCTCGGGGTGGCCGGCTCTGGGGCCAGAGCAGAGCAGCGACGCCCTGGGCAGCCCTGGTGCTGTATTTCCCGCTGACACCTGGTTCTGGGATGAGACTCAGCTCTGCGTGTTCAATCCCGCTGCGGGGTGCCTGGCCGGGCAGAGGGGCTGATGCTCCTGGCCCACCTGGACAGATGGCAGCGCAGCCCCACGCCCTGCAAGGACCCTCGTGGGTCTGGAGCTTCTCTGGCTCCACCCCCTGTGATTCCCACCTGCAGGGCCCGCGTGTACTGGGCAGGCCTGGAGCCCTAGTCCTCAGCTACCGCACAGGAACGAGAGAGCTGGGCTCTGCCGGGGGGCTGCTGTGGGCCCCTTCAGGCCGCAGGGAGGAGGTGGAGAGGTGTCTCCCCATGAGGTGACCCTGAGCTGGGCAGAGATGATGAAGGTGTCCTAGGCGGAGCTGGCAGTGGGATCTGCAGGGGGACCCCACGCAGAGGGAGGGCAGTGAGGGGTCTGGGGCACTGGACCAGATGCTGACCGCTGAGGCTGCATCTCACTCTGACCTCACCCGCCCCCCGGGCCCTCCCAGCCTCAGCCTCCCAGGCTCCAGGTGGGGAGATGTGAGGGGTAGAGCTGTCCAGCCCGTGGCCTGCCTGGAGCGGCCTCGGGAACAGGGCTCCTCTGGAGCCTGCATGGGGCCTGGACGAAGCCCAAGCCTGGAGCTGCCGCTGGCCGCTGGCAGCCTCACTGCCTGCTCGGACCGGACCGTCATCTGTTTGGAATTCAGATGGAAAAACCTGCCCTTGCACGTGGGCGGGAAGGTGCCCAGACAGCTTGGGACGTGCTGAAAGCGCTTCCCCGGGGAAAAGGAGCCTGAGTGCCCCGTCCCCGGCACCGTCCAGGGTTGGCCCTCCAGGCCGCCAGGCTGAGCGGAAGAGCCCAGTTCTGAGCAGACCAGCTCCACCCTCCCCAGCCGGGCCCTCTCCCACCACAGACACCGTCACTGTTGCCCCCAGCCCACAGTGCCCCTCGAGCTCCAAACAAAGGGAGCAGGTAAACAGTGGTGTCTACTAGTTGTAGGTGTCACTTCCCAAAGAACGTTGTTCCTGGAAAGATTGGGCGTACAGGGAACTTTGGAACTTTCTTTGTTGATAAATAACATCCAAGATGCACAGCTCGGCACCGTGAGACCCACGCGTCTGTGTGTCCATGCGCTGGCACATCTCGGAGCAGTGAGCGGGCCCTTCCCACGCTCCCCACATGGACCCACGAGAACCGTGTCCTCCACGCTCACTCTTGGGAAGGTGGGAGGGGGGTCCAGGGTGGCCACAGCCTGGGCTCTGCAGGTCCCTGGACTGGGCTGGGCCACTCTCCTCAGGCGGCCTTGAGGCCAGGCTTGGCGACGTGGCATCCACGCCCACTGCCCTGCAGCCCAGCCACGCCAGAGCCTCCCGGAGACAGCCCGCCGCAGCCCGTCTCAGGCCTGCTGGACGCCCTGTGGATTCGGGACAGTCACAACAGCGCAGCCAATCCTTACAAGTAATTGTTATGATTTGCTCTGTGCACACCTGTTGGCTCCGCTTCTCTGCAGAGCCCGGACTGACAACGTCCTAAAATTGAACTGTGATGACAGTTGCACAGCTCTGTAAATTGGCTGAAAATCATCAATTGTGCACTTTAAGCGGGTGACTGCACCGCAGTGACATGATCACTGAACAGCAGCCGGCATGCTGAAGGGCGGGGGTCACGGTCTCCGCGCATGCACCCAAACCAGCCCCCAGCACAGGCTCTGCTGTCGCACCTCCCTGCATCCTGGCCCCACCAGGCCAGACCCAGGGGGCGCAGGCAGCCTCGCAGTCCTGGGGGAAGGGAGGGTCGGAGGGCGTGGGGGGCCACAAGGACCCAGCCGGCTTCTAGGCGGGGCCAGAGGGCGGGACAAGGTGGCTGAGGGGCTTCAGATGTGGCCAGAACAGGCCATAAAGCACCTTCCTGGCTGTGGCGGCACCTGCCACGGCCGGTGTGGGGGTGGCTCAGGGAGGCTGAGCCACAGTGAACGGTACGGGAATGTCTGTGTGCTTGTGTGTGTGTCTGCACGTGTGTATGTGCTCACGCATGCAGACGTGTGTGGCTGTGGGCAGTGGGAGGGAACGTGTTTCTGGGTACCTGAGGGAGTGTGAGCCTGCGGTGGCAGGTGGGTGCGTGTGCTCCGGGCGGGGGGTCAGCGCTGCTGCGAGCAGAGCCGCCTGTCATCGCCATCACTGCTGGCAGAGGTGCAGAGGGCGGGTGTGCCGTGGGGACGCTCACCCGCAGGGCACTCCCCAGCGTGGGGCCTAGTGACTTTCGCGCCTGGTGAGGAGGAGGGGCTGGGGGGCTGGGGAGGCACCACAGCGGCCCCGCCCACACGCGTGTGCCGGCCAGGCTGGAACCAGAGGCCGCTCCTGTGAGCGCTGGGCGTGCCGCGCTGCACATGGGCGGGCCGAGCCGCGGCCTTGTGCGCACTCCCCTGCGTCTTCAGGATACTCGACCAGAAAGCGTTTAAAAAGGAGTGCGGGTGTCTTTGGTGGGAGGGTCTGGGCGGGGGTCTCCCTCCCTGGACCAGGTGCTCCTGCAGGTGGGGCAGGAAGTTTACTTTCCAGCCCTCCGCAGGTGTTTTGTTTCAGCAATCGCTTCTCAGAGCCTGAGCGCTCCTTGCTGGGCTCTGCCCAGGCCTGGTCTTGGGGCTGCTTTTCCCTCCACAAACAATCGCATCTCCAGTTTCTGGGGGACACTGCTCAGATTTCATTTCAGTTCCTCTCCGGAATCACTCGCCCCTTGTTCTAGCCTTTATTCAGAGGTTCCCTCAGCCCGGACATGCATGTAGACACATGCATATGTGCACATTCTGTTACTCAGCCGTGCTCTGAAGCCATCTTTCATTAGAGCCCTACCCCATCAGCCCAGTGATGACAGGTGGAATCTTGCTGTCCCCTGGACGGAGGAGGACACACATGCTTGGTGACCTCCAGTGACCTCGGCTGCCGGGAATGAGCCAAGCTCATTCCTGGACTCCAGGACCCGCCTTTAAAGGGACAAGAGGACCTACTCCCGCCACCCGGCACAGCAGGTGCCCACCCAAGCCGGGTTGAGGCTGCGCGGGGTGGTGTGGTCCCCCCTCTGGGGTGGGCCCACGGCTCCCTCGTGGGGCCTGAGCTTTTGGTCGTGTTCTGACTCTGATGGGCACCACACTGCTCCGAGACTCCCTCCTCTGGACCACCCTGGCCCCGGGGAGTGGGGGCCTCCCAGAGAGCTGGGGGCTGGGGCCAGCAAGCAGCTGCTGTGACTTGGCCACCGCCAGGCACCACGCTCAGCCCCACGCACCACGTGCAGGTGCTTAGCGCAAAAGCCGCGTCGGTGCCGCAGGCAGCTGGGCGCTGCGTGAAGGGATTACCGGGCAGGGTCTCCCCGGGGCTGCGACCTACGAGTCTGAGTGTCAGGCAAGGATGGGACCAGCTGGAACCATTAAGCAAGGGGCCAGCTCTGCCGTCAGATTTTTAATCTTAATTTTCTTTGGCTTCTCCACAGACAATGGCTTTGGGAATCGGGCTCTGGTTGAGGGAGACAAAGGATTCATAATCCCTGAAGCTCCCCGCAGGCATCAGAGAGGCTGTGAGGCCGTGGGGTGGGGGGTGTGGGTGGCACCCAAGAGCCTCAGGAGGAGCTTTCTCAGGCTGAGGCTGGGGACAGGCTCCCCCCATAACCCACTGAGCTGCCCACTCCCCAGATGAATTAAATAGCAAATTGTAGTTTCTTTTATTCTTTAAGGTAAAACACTCATGACAAGATTCGCCATTGCAGGGCTCTGAGGCACTCACTCACTCGGGATGTCACCAGCCACCGCTGTCTAGGTCCACAGCAGTGTCATCGCCCTAGAGAGAGCCGCATGCACCGTCCCCTCTTCCAAAGGCCCCAGGACAGCTGCCCGCGTGCTGCTCCCGGGTGCTCAGCGGCAGCCATGCCCCCACCGCAGGTGCTGCCTCTAGCTCTGGGGGTCCCAGCCTCTGACAAGCACCCACTGGAGAGAGCCGAGCAGGCAGCCCCTGCCCCAGAGCTTGCAGGGAGCCCCCGGGGGCTGGCCGGAGGAAGGCACTGCCACGCAGGGGTGGGAGGGCAGCCCAGCAGCCACACGTTGCCCCAGGCCTGGCCACGTGGTGCAGGGTGGGGTGGTCACAGCGGTGGCGGGGGCGGGGGGATGAGCTGGGGGCAGTGGCAGCAGTCTGTCCATGCAGCAGCCAGGGTGGGTGGGGCAGAGACCACCCAAAGGTGCTGCAAGGTGGAACCTGGATGACCTGATCCCCACATGGGTTGTGGCTGGTGGGACCCTGGCAGGTCAGGCCAGCGGCCTTGATCTCTTGCTTTCTGTACCTGAAGCTTCAGCCCACTCCTCAGCCCACCCTGCGGCCTCAGGGTGCCTGCCCTCCTGGCTGCCTGCCATGCCGATGGACGAGGAGGAAGGCTCCCGCGTGTGGGGACAGCAGGACCAGCCACCGGAGAAGGCCCCAAAGGCAGGCGTGTGCCCTCCCCAGCCGACCCACAGGCTCCCCAATGTGCTGTGGGGGGCTGTCCTAGCGGGACCGCGCTGGGCTCCAGCCCTCTTCCCACCCTCCCACGTGCCATCCCGGGCACTGAGGGAGGACTCAGACGGCAGCTCAGGCTTTATTGTTCAAGCGCTGAAGAGTCGAGCACTGGGGCCGCACGGGGGGCCCAGGGCTGTGGGTGCCGCGGGGCCACCAGCCATCAGAAGGTGGACTCACCACGGCCTTTGGAGGCCAGGTTGGGCCTGAGACCCCTGGAGACCCGCAGAGACGGGCGGGCGTCACGGGGAAGGCAGAGAGGGAGCTTCGGATGAGGACTGAGGAAGGCAGGCCTGGCAGTCGGGAGTGGGGGGCTCTGTGCAGGGGCCCTTCCCTGCCTGGGCTGTAGCTGCCGCCCCTGCTCACACGGGGGCCCTGGGACCCTCAGGTGCAGGCTCCTCAGGGGCCGCCGGGGCCAGCATGAGTGTCTCGGTGGCCTGCTGGCTGCAGGAGGACAGTGAGCGGCCTGAGCCGCACTGGAAGCGGACGGGGCACTGCCGGGAGCCGGTGACGCCTGTGGGCCCAGGGCCACCGCTGCCCAGCGATCGCGGGTGGCCACGCAGGTACTCGCGGTAGTTCTTGGTGAGCAGCGTGTAGAGGAAGGGGTTGACGCAGCTGTTGCCATACGTGAGGCAGGTGGTCAGGTAGTTGACGATGCGCACGGCCCGGGGCGTGAGCGGCAGGGCCTCGTGGTACTGGGCCAGCAGCTGCCACAGCCAGAAGGGCAGGAAGCAGGCCCAGAAGAGCAGCACGACGCCCAGGATGAGGCGGAGCACCCGCGGGTTGGGCAGCCGGCGCGTCTGTGCGAAGGAGGCCCTCTGCGACCGCCAGTAGGCACGGGCCAGGCGCGCGTAGAGCAGCCCGATGGCCAGGCCGGGGCCCACGATGCTGGTCCCGAAGAGCAGCGTCAGGTAGGCGCGGTGGGCGGGCCGGCCCCAGGCGGGCAGGCACAGGCTCTTGGGGCCCCTGCGCACCAGCCTCACGGCCAGCGTCACGGGCAGCGTCAGCAGCAGCGCCAGCAGCCAGGTGCCCAGCGCCAGGAGCTTGCGGTAGCCCTTGGAGCGCCGCACCGTGTCCAGCGGCCTCCGCACTGCCACATAGCGCTCACTGCTCATGACGGTCAGCGTGAAGATGCTGGCGTGCATGGTCAGGAAGTCCAGGCTGAAGAGGACGCGGCAGCCCACGTCCCCAAAGTGCCAGTCCTTGGTGACGTATGTGGCCACGATGAAGGGGATGCTGAGCAGGTAGAGCAGGTCGGCCAGCGCCAGGTTGACGATGTAGATGTACAGGGAGGCCCAGGCGCGCAGCGAGCGGCACATGAGCACCAGCGTGTAGGCGTTGCCCACCACGCCCACCACGCCCATGGCCGAGAGCACCACCCCAATGGCGACCGTGGCCACCAGGTCCTCTAGGGAGCTGGGCTCCGTGGAGCTGGCCCACGAGCTGTTGAGGGACACGTTGGGGCCGCCAGGCGGCTCAAGCACAGAGCTGTCTGTGGCAGCCAGCACAGGGAGCCCGCTTACAGACTCGGGGCTCAGCGCCATCTCTGCCCCTCACGCTGGGCTCAGGCTGGGTTGTGCTGCTCCTTGATGTGGGGACATCTGTGGGCACCCAGCTCACCCTGTGGAGAAGATGCCCATTAGAGATGCAAGTCAGGGCCCCCCTCCCACCTCCGCGAGGCCGCTGGGACAGGCACAGCTCCCACGGGCTGCCGAGGGGTGGGGGCTCCCGATTTCCTCGTTCTCGGGGACCCTCGAGAAGACACCAGCGTCCAGGAGCCCAAGAGCCACTCAGACCAGCTGACCCCCAGCACACATACCCCAGGACCCTCACTCCAAGCCTCAGTGCAAGTCCAGAGGCCTCTGGGGTTGACTGGGCTTTTCTGAAACCCGAGCACAGGATGGCAGCCCCTGGGGCGGAGGGCGGCAGTGCTCAGAGCCTGGGGTCTTGGACTCGGCCGGCCCACCGTGCACCTGCCAGGCTCACCTTCTTGTCTGTGAACCAGCAGGGGGCCACCAACCCGAGTCCTTTCTCTCATTGTACTTCGCTTGTGCTTTTACAAAGTATGTTTTCTTCAGGTGGCAAAAGTAATAGCTGCTGACTTTCTTTCATTTTTGGAAACAGAGTCTTGTTCTGTCTGCCTGGCTAGAGTGCAGTGGTGTGATCACAGCTCACTGCAGCCTCACATTCCTGGGCTCAAGCAATCCTCCTGCCTTGGCCTCCTGAGTAGCTGGGACTACAGGTGTGCAACACTGCGCCCAGCTCATTTTTTCTATTTTTAGTAGAGATGGGGTCTCACTCTTGCTCAGGCTGGTCTTCAACTCCTGACCTCAAGTAATCCTCCTGCCGTAGCCTCCCAGAGTGCTGGAATCCACAGGCGTGAGTCACCGCACCCAGCCAAGAGCCGGTGACTTTAAAAGTCCAAATAGAAAAATATGTGAGGCAAAGCGGGGAAGGCCTTTGTAATCTCCACTTATCATATGGGGAAAATGAGCCGTGGTCCCTCCCTCACACCACACACAAAACAAATTCAAGACAGATGGCAAACCCACATGTGGATTACACTGATCAACAGATCAAGCTTCTGGAAGAGAACGGGAGAATATCAGCAGGACTTTGAATAGGAAAAGATTTCTTTTAAATGAACAAGAAATACTTGCAATAAAAGACTAATCAAGGGCCGGCGCAGTGGCTCACGCCTGTAATCCTAGCACTCTGGGAGGCCGAGGCGGGCAGATTGTTTCAGCTCAGGAGTTCGAGACCAGCCTGAGCAAGAGCGAGACCCCGTCTCTACTAAAAATAGAAAGAAATTAATCGGACAACTAAAAATATATAGAAAAAAATTAGCCAGGCATGGTGGCGCATGCCTGTAGTCCCAGCTACCCGGGAGGCTGAGGCAGGAGGATTGCTTGAGCTCAGGAGTTTGAGGTTGCTGTGAGCTAGGCTAACACCACGGCACTCACTCTAGCCAGGGCAACAGAGTGAGACTCTGTCTCAAAAAAAAAAAAAAAAAAAGACTAATCAAGTGAACCTCATCAAAATTAAGAGCTTTACTAAGAAAGTAAAATCATAAACCACAGGCTAACAGAAGATCATCAGAAAACACATCAGACAAAGAAAACTCATAACCGAAATATCTGAAAGAACCACAAATCAGTAAAGAAAAGACAACCCATTTGAAGGGGGAAAATGACAAAGAACTTAAACAGGAACCTCTCAATGAAGGACCTACCAATGGCCAACAGGCAGAGGTGTAAAATGCAAACCAAACCACAGTGAGACACCAGCTCACGCCCTCCCTGGCAGGAGTGGGAAAGGGAGCAGGCGGAGAGGGTGCGGAGGACCACAGCTCCCCTTCACCCCTGCCAGGGTGCGAAGGGTGCAGCCACTCCGGAAGATAATCCGCACTATTTGTTTTGTACCAAAGATAAACAACTGCAAATGTCCCCAAAAAGACAAGAGCGAGAATGTTCACAGCAGCTTTTTTCCTCAGGAGGAGATGGAAACAACCCAAATGTCCGTAAACACAGAGTGGATAAGCAACTGACATCTCCGCAAAGACGGTGGCTTTACCCCTGCGGTCAACAGCCGGGGTGGAACTACACAGGCTGTGTTGAGCAAGACTTCCCGCAAAAGAGTGCCGTCTGGTCCCACTCAGATGAAGCTGAGTTACAGGCAAAAGCATTTATGCCGTGCAGGTGGGGAGCGGAGGGGGGGTTCGTGGTGTCACCTGGTACGGTGCCTGGCGGGTAGAAGCCTTGTGCCTTGTGCCTTGATCTGGGTGGTCACACAGGGGTACACACATGCAAAAACTGACCCAACTCCACACTGAAGAGCCATGCTTACTGTATGTAGCTTACTCTCATTAAAAAAAGGGGCCTGAAGCGCGGAAATACCTAAACTGAGAGGACAAGTCCCTGGTATGGCCCGTCCTCCCCCAGATACGTCACAAGAATGGCTTTAGGCTCGGTCCTTCCGCACATGCATGTTGACAATAATAAGCATAAATTCGGGACCATCCCACTCCGCGTGATCTCTGGGCACCTGCTGCAGGGGGGACCCGGGCAGGCCCAGGGGTGTGAGACGCCGGCCAGGCCCCTGTTCCCGCGGGCCCAGCCTCTGGCCTGGCGCAGGGAGCTGGGGCGCCCTTTCCCACAGCACGGTCCCGGCTCCATCTGCGCAAGGCCCCGCGCCCCGCCCCGCTCAGGCACGTTCCCGGAGCCCTCTGGGGGCAGCCCGCCCTCCCCCCGCCCTCCCCGCGCCGCGCCGGGCGGCCGCCCCCCAGGTCACTGGCCGCAGCGCCCGGCGGCTGCTGGGGGGACGCTCCGCAATCGGGACACGGGGTGGGGGGTGGGAGGAGCTGCGGGAGGCAGCGAAAGTTTCACCGCGGGACGCGCGGCCGCCACGCTGGCCCCGCGCGCAGAGCCGAGCGGGGTCCGGCTGCGAAGGCCAGCCCAGCCCCGCGCGCGCCCCAGGCGCACCGGCATGCCGCGTCCTCACGGGTCTGGAGACCTGGCGCCGGGACACGCGCCCTCGCGGCCTCCCAGAGCTCCATGGCTGTGGCTGCGCCGGCTCGCCCAGCTCAGGGGCGCACGGAGGGCTCCGGGGCGCGGGCCAGCCCGCCGGGGACGGTGCGGGGTTGGCGCCCCCGGTACCCAGCACTGCGCACTGGCACCCGCACGACGCAGCGCTCGCCCCTGACCACCCGCCACGGACCCACCTGCCCCTCGGCCACTAAGCTGTCAGATGGGGCGGCCACCGCGCCGCCGGCGTCCGCTCGCTCCTGGGGCCGCGGCCAGGCGGCGGCCACCACGCACCGGTCTCCAAACTCCGCGCGAAGCGGGGCCCGGGGCCGCCGGGAACTTTCCCAAGCGCTTCCCGTGCCCGGGGATGCGGAGGGGGTGTGAGGGGCTCCGTGGCTGCCTCGGATCCCCGGGCCCGCGGCGAAGGGTGCCACCGCCCGCTGCGCGCCCTGTCCCCGCGCCGCCGCCACCTGCCTGGCCGCCAGCTGGGAATGCGCCCCAGCCCCGCGCCAGCGCCAGGATATTAATAACCCCCGGGCCGCGCCGCCCCCGGCGGGAGGGGAGGACGGCCCTGGGGGTGCCGGGGGAGACACTGGAGCTCCGGGGTTGGAGGACGCCAGGGGCGGGGCGAGGGAGGGCTCTGGGGAGGGGGCGGCGCCGGGGCCTTCGCGCCTGGAAGGATCCCGGAGCGCTGGGCCGAGGCAGGGAGGTCGCGGGGCCCCAGTGGGGTCTAGCCCAGCGCTCGCCCTCCAAGGATCCTGGACACCCCTAAACCCGGGACAGGTTCGTAGAAAGGAGGGCGTGGGAGGGGGTACAGTCGCCCATTGAGGTGGGTCTGGAGGAGGGGCCGAGTCTGACCACCCCTTAAGGTCCGGGTTTAGGGGGGGACTGTGGGTGCCTGCGACCTTCCCCGGCGCGCCTGTCCCAGCTGATCGCCTTCAGGGTCTTCAGAGCTGCTGTGGCCTCTTCACACCTGCCAACTCACAGAGATGGCAGCAGTGACCAAACCCACTGGGGGGCAGCAGGGCCCCCCAACCTCACCCTGGACTCTCGCCAGTGGGTGTGGGGCCCACTCTCCGTCACTCTCAACCCGACATGGAGGTCCCCATCTGTGTCTGGGCCTGGCGAGTGCCCAGGGGGACTCTGGGGAATGGCGCTGCAGCCCCTCCTGTGGAAAGGCTTGTGGCAGGTGGGTGGTCAGGTCCTGCGTGGTCAGGTCCTGCGTGCTGGGCTCCCTAGTGCCTCTCTGTGACCCCAGTTTCCCCGGGGCCTGCCACCCCTCCCTACACTCTTCCTGCAGCTGTTCTCCCCCCAGGTTCCCTCTCACGGGTGCTGGGCCACACTGTCTCCTCCAGGGACTCTGTTCTCTTCTCACAGCTCCTGGAGGTGGGAACCACCGTCCCTGTGTGGTCAGGTTGGCTGGTCCCGAAGAGGAGGTTTGAGGAGCACATACTGCAGGGATTGTGCTGGGGGCGGGGAGGCAGGACAGGGCAGAGGGTATGGGTGGGGCTGGAGGGTTGAGGGGACAGAACCTTTACCGAAGCCCAGAGCGCCTCGAGGGCCCCACAGGGAGAGAGAGCACTGGCTCCACCGCTCCCCCCTCTGTGGCTCTGCTGGTGGCGGAGCCCTGGAGAGTTCAATGGGATGGAACACCAAGGCTGAGGGAAGGCCAAGTGGCTGCCACTGCCCAAGTTGATGGGACAAAGGGTGGATGAGGTCCTGGGAACCCAGAGGGGGCTACAGCTGCAGAAGGGGCTGCTGGGCATGGCGTGGCCTTGGAAGGAGCCCCCTGCCGCCATCCAACCTGGCTCCACGGAGTTGGAGCTGGGCCTGGAGGTGCCTGGGTTTCCTGTCACCCAGCTGGAAGCCGAGGGCCAGTGAGCAGTCCGCAGTCATCCGCCTGGGACTCAGAATGGCTGCAGTGTGCGTCTCAGGGGGGACACAGAGTATCCACCAAGCCCCAGGCTCCTTCCCCTGACCCAGAGAGGTCATGAGAGTCTAAGTCTGTCCTGAGAGAAGCCCACGTGTTCTGGGTACCCTTACTCCATCTCCCCATCTGTCGTCCCAGCAGCAGCAGCAGGGTCGACATGGACCACAGAGGG